CACACCACTATGTACCCATATCTGCTACATTAAATACTTTTAGAATTTTATAGCCTGGGAAGAAGAAGGCCCATTGTTTAAATGAAGGAGGTACATTTTCGCTTGAGAAAATCCAGCCCACAGGTCTGGGCCCAATCAGAACATTGTGACTGATACATGACAAAGTTTGATGGAACCAATAATTATGCTTTATTTCTAAGTGTCATAGGGGGTATAAAATCTTATGTCTCCCATTGTAACCTTAGGGAGAGCTGTGGGATCCAAAATCTTGTTGAACCCGTGCTTCCCTCCTTTATTAATAAAGTTCTAGATCTGGTTCTACTCTACAGGATCGTGCCGAGTGCTTTCTCAAATTGGGCTGGGGAAACACAAACTGAAGACGGGATTTCTGTCTAACAGGATATAGGGGAAAGGGAACCCCAGAAGTTCACCCAGTAGTAATGGGAGAGGGGCAGGAAGGAGCCTTCCAGCCCCACAGGCAAAGAATGCTTCAGGGAGGTAGAGGAAAGGGAAAAGGTAGGGGAGTGTCAGAGGGACCAAACAGCCCCAAGACAAGAACATTAGGGAGGAATCAGTGTAGCTTCTGTAAATGTGAAATTTGATGTCCTTTGAAGATTAGGGGAAGAAGAGGGCTGCAGGGAGTTCAATTGTAACCAGCAGCACAGACCCCGTACCTGGGGTGGTTTTGCCCGAGAGAGAAACACCCCCAAACAACCTCTGAACCTCCACAAGTAGTGCCCTCATAAAGCTAGGCCTGGCTTAAACGGTGGCTTTTGCTGGGAGGCTAGGAGAACCACCTTTTAGCTGGGAAAGCTTAGGCCAAGTGCCAGGCCAGCTGCATGGTCAGACACCCTCCATGCAACCCTCCCCACTCTTCTCTCCTGTCAGCTCAGTCCAAAAGGACTAAGAATGGGCAAATCTCTGCCCTTGCCTCAGGCCTCTTCTACTGATCAAATGGCTAGTCTTTTGTTTGTCAAATGTACAGGCAAGCAGAGACAAAGAACCACTGGTGACTGTGTCTCTGTCATGAATGGTATATGTTGTATGTTTCATGTCCCAAATCCTTTCACACCCTGGAACTCAGGAAATACTTTTGGAATAATCCTCTCAAACCCGCATTTCTCTCACCTATGCTAGACCCTTCAAGGTACACATTGCTGTAGAATGGTAATCCATTCAGCTTCATCCTGTCAAACATTAAGGATTTTCTCCTCTGTCTGGTACCAGGGAAACACCCGATTGCCCTATTATTCCACAATGGGAATCCCATCAATCCATTGTGAAACTAGCTACCATACTTTGACATACCTTTAGGATACATTCTGGGGTATAAATCTACCCAGTCTTGCACATGCCCAGTGTGACTTTAGCTGGGCGCAAACAAAGCTAACACTCCTGAGCACAACTCAGGTCCTCTGTGGTCTTGCTGGTCGGTCCACACATCTCCTCTCATCTGACCTTGGATTCCTTCATCTCTTTGAGGGGAGTGAATGGTTAAAATGATGAGCTGAAGCACCTATAACGGTGTAGAACAATGGCAGGATTATGGGCCTTACTGAGAAGCAGAGGCAGAGTAACAAACTTAGAGATAAGATGGAAAGGGGTGTGTGTAAAGAATTTGGATGGCAAGGAATAGCCTTGACATACATAAACACTAATCAATCACACCTGCCTAATTAACTAATGAATATTGCCTAACCCGCCTTGTTTACTTAATGAGCTATTTTAAATGCACATACACGATCCATGATGGGGGGGGGATCATGTCAAAGACTTGTATGTTTTATGGTGTGTTGTAGGCGGAACTGAAAGAGTTGTAAGCTCTGGATCTAGTAAAGGAAAAGGGGCAGGGTCTACCAGCCGGTGAGAAATAATATATGGAGGATTGGAATGCTAATTTGAGTTCGTCTGCACTCCCTTTATCGCGCAATAAAGCCATCAAAAGATATTCCTGACTGACTATTCTTTTCTGAATGGTTTGTGTTGCCCGGGGGGGGGGGGGGACAGGGAGCCAGGCAAAAACAACCTTTTATATTTCTAACAATTGGGGGCTCATTCGTCTGGGATTCTTCTGACCTGTTGCCAGCCTGGCCAGTGAACATTCATTGGAAGGTGCACCCTGCAGTGTTCTGCATTCCTTTGGAACTTCGGTAGCTGCACCGGGGGTGATCGGAACCTGAGACTGTGTTTTTTTTAAGCAGTCAGTCTGTGAATATCTGGCAGGGAGGGCCTGCCAAGGGAAAGACCTCGCACCTGGCTGTGGAACCAAGATGTCTCATTAAACTAAGGTAAGACCCATGGCAATGGGGAATTGGGGTTTCAAGGCAAAGAAGGTTAAAGAGGAAGTCAGGGGGACTCCTCAAAAGAGGAAGTCAGGGGGACTCCTCAAAATTCCACAGATAAGCTCTCTGGGACTAATAGTAAAATATTGGGAATGGTGGTTAATTTCTGTGTTTTGTGTACATTACAAACTGGGAGGGTTTTTATGACCAAAATCTGGTAGTTTTGACCCATTGGTCAGATAAAAATAAAATATCTATATTAATGACCGAAGGCCCAGGGCCAAAAGAATCCCACTATGCCGCAGCCCGGCTGCCTCAGGGCTTGATGACTAATGGATGACTAATGGAATTCAAGGTATAAACAGAAACTGAGGGAAATAAAAAGGACAAAAAATTCTGGATGGGATCCCCTGTCGTGTCTAACCCCGCCCCCCGCATTCTTCTGAGAGTATGAGGGAGGATGAGGACAAGGAGAGAGTCCCCTCGTTTATATCCAGAAATCCCTGGGGACGGGACAGAACCGGCTGTTTCCCTTCACCCAGAGGTGGTTGTAAAATCTTTCCCTTTATAAAACTCCAGGTGTGGCCTGGAGGCCTCCTGGAATTTTTCTGGACTGCAGAGATCAGTCCCTAGGGGTTTGGCTGTTCTGTAAAGTGTATTTTCTCTAGTAAAAAGGTAAAGGTTCCATTGCTCGAAAGCCAGTCGAGTCCGACTCTAGGGTTGCGGTGCTCATCTCCGTTTCAAAGCCGAAGAGCCAGCGCTGTCCGAAGGCGTTTCCGTGGTCATGTGGCCGGCATGACTAAACACCAAGGCGCACCGAACGCTGTTACCTTCCCACCGAAGTGGTACCTATTTATCTACTTGCAATTTCTTGCTTTCGAACTGCTAGGTTGGCAGGAGCTGGAACTAGCGATGGGAGCTCACTCCGTCATGCGGCACACTCGAGTCTTGAACTGCTGAACTACCGACCTTCCACAGCCTGCAGTTCAGCATCTTAACCACTTGAACCAGTTGAGCGTCTTAACCACATTTTCTCTAGTAGCGGTGTGTAAAGTATATTTTCTCTAGTAGCAGCGTTTATTTTTTTTTGGTAGCAATTAACTTCCTGGTCTCTGGTTTCTGGAAGAGAAGGGGGGAGAATGGGCATTCCCCCCCACACACCCTGCTGGTTGGGTAGTGGGTTAGTTGCTTGTGGATAATTGGTAACTTTTATTTGTGTTATTGTTCAGTGTATGTTTGATGGTTGGTGTTCTGTTCTGCTCTTGTTAAAATCTTTTTGTATATGTTGTGTAGTGGGTTCGACACATTGAAGAATCAGGAAACAGCGTGATTATCAGCTCATAGTTTACTGGTACACAAGAGAACAGAAAATACCAGCCAGACGGCCAACTATATACAGTCCCCGTGGACCACCCCAGGGTCCCATTGGTGGGTTTAAATTTCCTGCCAAAGTCCCTATTGGTGCCCGCTTGAGGTTTCAGGATCCTAGTCCCTATTGTCTCTTGAAAGTCAAGCTCTGGTGAACGTTGCTGTCGCCTAGTGGATGGCATTTATTTCTAAGTGCACAGTGGACATAACAGTATAGTTTTCTGATTATGAGTTTATAATGTGGTATTCTATTGTTGTGGCTTTTGGCTTTTAAGTTCCCTTGGTTTTATTTCTACTGTATTAATCTGTTGGGGTTGAAAGCACTCACTGACCTGGCAAAACATGTACCCTTTTAATTTGTGAGGCCTCATAACCTCTGATCTTACATAAAGTTTTGGGTTCTTTGTCTAGGATTCCTTTTGGGGGAGCCTCTACAAAAGGCAGAATCTCTGTGCTATAAGGAAACACTGGCAAATGCAGTAAGGGACAGTGTGGAGATTAAATTTTATTATTATTAGAACAGTTTCCAGGCCTTGACCTGGCAACCGTGTATGTTTGACTGGCATGTGGGTTGTTTTTGTTGTTGTTGTTGGTGTGTGTGTTCCTTCTCCTTGGTATAATTTAGGCAAGGATTTGGTTATTTACTGGATGACACATTTAAAAGGAAAAATGAAGCAGTAGGCATATAGACTGTAATTGTTGGCTGTTAGGTTTAGAAAAAGGTACTTTTCTCCCTTTCTCACAATACAAGAACTTGAGGGCACTCAATGAAATTGCTGAGTGGTTGGGTTAGAGATAACTAGAGATAAAGATGACAGGGAGGGATAAAGGAATGTGGATGGCAAGGAACAGCCTTGATTTACATAGACACTAATCAATCACGCATGCCTAATGAACTTATGAATATTATCTGTCACACCATGACTACTTAAAGAGCTAATTTTAATGCACATATGATATGCACAATTCAAGGGAACTG